ACCAGGCCGAGATGTACTCCAGGGAAGCTCATGGGCTACGAGATAGGCTGTTGGGTCATCATCAGGATACAGCTCGTTCGTGCGTTCAGGTTAGCGATGTGTTAGTCCTTCAAGGACAATTCGATGAGGCTTTGGAGGAGCTCAATAAGGCGTTTGAAATTCAAAAGGATGTTTTGGGCCCTGACCACAAGATCACGAAGAACACAATGAGCAAAATGAGTGACGTGATGGACAAACGAGCATCAAATCCTCGTTAACTGCACATTCTCAAAACCGAAGCCCGAGGTAAAACTCTTGGTTCTTAGTGAACAGACTGAAGCATGTAAATAAATCAATATTATTAACTGAGTTGATAATGTTAATTAGCCACCATAAAGAGTTTAAAAGCTGACGTTTCGAGCGGTAGCCCATAGTCAAATCGAATGAGGAAGAGCTAACGCTCGAAACCTCAGCCTTTTACGGTGGCTAATTTACGTTATCAACCCAGTTGATAAGACTAAATTACTATGTTAAACTCTTCCACCGACGAAGCGCCACAGTCTCTTTAGAAACTTACCCCCATGTAAATAAAACTTAGACCAATTGGTATCTCATCAGTGTTGCAAGGAAGTTATTTAAATTCATTGGAATAATGTAAAAATCAAGCTTTTGCCTTCAGTCATCATCGTTACGAACGATTTTTTTATTTTGGTTTTTCCCTGTCGTGTTTATTGTGTTTCGGAATTGGTATCGACTTATCCCACAAAATTAAAGCGTATTATAATACTTCAGAAGAAAATTACTACAGTCATCACCAAAGAGCCTTTCAATGCTCATACTAACCCCATAAGGAGGTAAGTAGTGGGTTTTCCCACCATCGCTAGACATTGACACTGAGGTGAGGTGTATATACTAAAACAGTGAGATAATAAAGCACAAAAAGATGAGTTTAACTCATTTATTCCTGGAACTATTGCAATATTTTCGGTTGCGAATCCCACAGCCCATATTCGAAGTTTGAGTAGCCAATCAGCGCGCCTTAACATTGTTTTAGTATATACCAATAACATTTAGTGGCTTAGTTTCCGTTGGCTGTTTAACTGTCCATTTCGACTGGTCTAGTTAAAAGGTGCTGCTAATCAGGCAGGTAAAATTGTGCAGTTCAGTGACTCCCTAGTTGGAAAAAGTGTTAAATAAACGCTGTTAAGGACCAAGTAGATTCGAGCACTTTGCTACTGACACAACTTTCCAAGAGGAAGTAGATTTAGCTTCTCCCATCCGGGGAATTACTTTTCTGTCTACGGTGAATGTTTGTAAGTAGACTGCGAGTAGTCCCTCCTATTCGGGAAGTCCGTCACGCGGGTCAAAAAAGGGTCAGTGGAACTCTGGAAGTTAGGCACACGGAAACTACAGTCTCTATTATTTTCCAAATTCACGCGACGAAGTGCTCCGAAAAGGATGGACTGCTCGTGTCAAGTTTCTAAGAAGCTTATCCATAAACAATAATTTGCGCTGAATCAAAAATTCTGTTTCGAGGTTATCTGTTGTTTCTTTTGATCACGGTTGTTGTCATTCGACAAGATGCATTCATCAAGTAGCATAAGTGTTTCTTTATCAATAAAATAATTGATCCGCTTGTAGTAAAAGACCTAGAGAATAGTTATATGTCATAGCCGTTGCACATATGAATTTACTTCGATTCTGTGTTATAGCTGTTTACTTCCAAAACAAAAGAACAAATAGGTTTCGACAAAACTATTTCTAGTTCAAGTCATAGGGATATATATGTTGTAAAGTTCCAATACAAATTTTCAACTAAGTCGCCGTAAGGTTGGCCTTCACTTTGCCACCCTGGATGATGTCATTACCCCTAGCAGCGCCATGATCTATGGTTTCTAGGAATTGGAAATATGAACGTCAA